TCTTCCTGAACCTATTAACATGAGCCCCATGGTGGCTTTCTTTTACTATAGCAGCTAGCAAATTATATATTTAGACTTAATTGTCCTCGTAATAGAAGAGAGGAATTTAGCAACACATCTGTAATGGCAAACCAAATCTTCATATTATTGAGCAAGTAAAAAGATCCTTGTAGTTTTTAAACTCTTTAGAATTTATGGAATTTGGCTTTTACTATGTGAATAACACTGGCTATTATGTAGGCTTAATTGTCCTTTTAAAATATAAAAACAAAAGGTTTTTTCTCCTTTGTAGACTTAATTAAAATTATTGTTATATCTGTGATGCCATATTAACAAATTTAGGTGGCAAATGGCAAGCTAATGATAATTGTAATAGATGGCTTATTAATAAACTTCATATAAAAATCTCTTGCTGGTTAAGAAAAAGACATGAAGTAGAAAACTGGGAAAACCACATGAATGGGAAAGTCAAGAGGTATGGCTGACCCACGCACATGAACCTGGCAAACATTAAAAAAGGAAGTTAGTGTCCCGTGTTGGCCCAGCTTTTGTGGAACAGACGCACTTCATGCGGGAGCCAAGATGGCACGTTTGCTCCCCGTGGCTGCAGCCCGTTAAGAGACGTGGTGTCTTAAGACAGTGCAGATGTGTTCTTTCACACTTCAGGAGGCGGGAGGTCTGACACGGGTCTCACGGGGCTGAAGTCGTGTGTGGGGAGGGCTGTGCTACTTTTGGAGGTGGGGAGAACCCGTTCTCTTGCCCAGGATCCCGTGCTTCGTTGAATGCTCTGCTTTCACGGTCTTAAGATTGCTTGCACTGGGTTGTGCACTTGATGTCCACGACGGTTCTGCTTTGACCTCTTCCTCGCTCTTTCTTCCCCTGAGCCTGGCTTTTGGCTTAATTCTGACCTCTTTTCCCTGGCCCCCAGGCTTTCCAGGCCTGGAGTGGTCCTGGTCTGCCCCCTGCCCCGCGGCCCCACCCTGCGGTTGACACTCAACGCGCGCGTGTGCGTGTGTGTGTGTTGCGGCCTCCCCCATTCTCAGCGGTTCTCAGCCACAGGGAACCTGCTTTGTCTGCTCCCTTCTTTCTGGCTGGGGAAGTGAAAGTGTGTGTCGATCGCCAGTCTGTACCGTCTGGTCTCAGAGCCCGCTAGTGTTGTTTGGCACTTCTCTTTTTCCTTGTGGACCATGGCTTCTAGTTTTTGGACTTCTTCTCCTTGCATCTCAGAGTGCCTTTGCCTGAATTGGAGAAGTTTTCTCTGACTTCTGCCTCAGGCAGTCACGCCTTCCCTTCTTTACTTCAAACTTCTTATGTGATTGCTCCAATAATTTCCTTTTGCGTACCTCACCGCCACGCTCCTGTCTGCTGGGTTTCCCCCGGTTTACGAGCACAGTCTGGTTCTCATACAAAGGAATCTGTGTGTTCATATGGCCCCATATGGCCCCCCTGTGGCTTTGCTGTTTTCTTCTCCCGCTCTCTTCCCGCTGACGGAGGAGTTTGGGCCCCTCGCCTTCTCCCGGCTGACTCCGTCCAGTCTCCAGAAGCGTATCCCACTGCCAGCTTACTGGTGACCTGTTAGTGACCCCACTCGCCAGAGAAGCTTCCTTTTATCGGTCCTCCTGTCTGTCGGGGCTTCTGGCAGTGCCTGGGCTGCCTCATCCCCCACCGTCTGACTCTCTCAGGGCGGCCAGTACGGCCAGTACTTCAGCCGTCCTGTCTGTTCGGGTGATCCCAAGTGTTTGTGGCTGCTGGTTGCCACTGTACAGACCCTGGTTCTCACCACTTCTGGAGTGTTCCAGCCAACAGTGCCAAAGTTGAACACACGTTTTCTTTCTTCAGCTGCCTCCCGCCCTCACCTGTGCTCTCGGACGATGGGCGTCCGCACACGTGTGCGTGCGTGTGCACACGCACACCCCCAGCTCTCCTGCCTGGCCGCGCTCCGTGTGTTTATGGTACAGCCTCGTGTCTTCAGGGGCAGAAGTCTGGTTATGTTTTACTCCTTTTCCTTTTTTACCTGTTTGATAAGCTGCTGGATCAATGTGTGTTTGGTTCTTGTAACATCACTTGACTGCATTTTCCCTGTCCGTTTTGGTTCGGTCCTAACTCAGTACCTTGTTGCCTGTGACTTATGCCCTAAAGTATTTCGGAAACCTAATGGTTCTCTTGGCACCTAGATTACGTCTCTCCTTTGGCCTAAGATCCGTGGAGTCCCACAGTACCAGCCTGTCACTGTGCAGCTCTTCTCATGGGATGCCAGTGCCCTCCTCAGTCCTGCCGCTCACACGCTGGGGACCTGTGCTCCCCAGGCCTTCCGGACCCTGACTTCTTACCTTGTTCATAGGTCTGCCTCTCCCCGCTTCGTATGCCCCATGCGTCCCTCTTGGCCTCTCTCCAGGCTCCTCTTTAGCCTGAAACTTGCACCAGTCAGATATGACTGGTTGAAAAAATCTTTAGTATGAGGAACATTTTTGTATTCTGGGGAATATTTTGTATCTCTTCTAGGACATTCTACCACGTTATAGCTACTTATGTTTATTTTATTGGCTCATTAATCTTTAACCTACATGCTTAGAGTATTAGATTAGTATCTTGGTAATAGACACGAAATAGAAACTAAGTACTAAATGGGACATTTATAAGGTCTTGTTAGCTAGCTATGTGACTTTGAGCAAGTCACTTTACCTCTCTGAGCCTTAGTTAAATTAATTTCCGGGAGTCAAGTCAGGTGGTGAGATATATATCATCTAGAGGTTGTAGACCATTCCCTGCGTGGACCGGAGAGGGTCATGGGCTCGGACTTAGGGTTGTGAAGGACTTCTGGTCTTCAGAGAAGGGCCGCTGTCTGTTTGTTGTCGTGGTAAGGGCGTCCGCGTAATTCTAAGCCTTAGAAAGTCTGTCGACTGTGCGCTAGTAAGTCCGTACGGGAGAATTGGCAGCTGCTGTGTCCTTACCTCACTTCACCCACTCTTGGAGCTTCCGTTCCTGCCGCTCCACGGAAAGTGCTAGTCCCATAACACATAGCCTTTGTTTGGCCACACAGCCCCTTCTCCATTCCAGATGTCTCGGTGGCCTTCTGGAGATGTTCTCTTCTCAGGGCCCCTGTGTCAGCTCAGTCTCCTTGTTCTCCTTCCTCGTTGGCTGTTCTGTCTTAAGAGCTGGAAGATAAAAGCTGGAATATTCAGGATGTAGACTGGACTAGAAAATGTGTCTAGTGCATTCCTCAGTAAGAAGGTTATTTTCCTTAGTCTTTTTTTTTTTTTTTTTTACACACAGTAGTAATGGGCATTTCTTACTCATCTGTCACAAAGCTGATATTTTTAGGCCTTCCTATAACTTTTTTTTTTTTTTTTTTTAAATACTATTTTTCTGTCTTCCTATCTTCTTACTGACTTACTGGAGTTTTGTAATTGTTCTCACTGAATAAATACCACAGGGTGATTCTGTGGAACTTTGGACTTAATATTGGATGAGCTCCAGTAGTGAAGAAGGAAGTATTAACTAATTTAATTGACAAATAGATGTTTCCCAGCCTGGTATACTATTCAGATTTTTGTTATAAGTTCGTGAATAAATTAAGCTGCTTCTGCCCTAGGGACTTCAGTCAGATATGTGGTTGTGGGAATCTCTTTCTTTCCCACACTGCTTTGCATGTTAAAAATTCTTCTGCAGGAAGATCCCAACATACTCTAGCCGTTCGTCTTTATGCTGCCTGTCTTCCCTGGAGAGTCGGGAGAAAATCCAAATCACATTTTGTCTAGTCTAGGTTCGTGTCACTTCAGAGAGCCACTATGTTCTGTTAAATGGTCAGTGCATATTCTCATTAAGAAAAAGGGAGGCAGTGGGATATACGAAGGGGAAAGAACGAATTCGTAATACTGGTAGAGCACTCACAGATATGATGAATTCTTCTATAGGAACTGCAGTGTTTTCTCTGTTACAGAAACTTCATATATATAAATGTGTGTGTACATATATAATGCGAATGTACCCGAGAGCATTGAAATCCTGTGTCTATACAGAAACTTACTTAGCATTCAGTTTATATCAATGTTCATGGCGGGATTATTTATAACAGCCAAAGGTTGAAAACAACCCAAGTGTCCATCAACTGATTGTCGATAAAATGTGGTATATCCATACAGTGGAGTATTACTCAGCCATAAAAAGTAACGGAGCCCTGATACGTACCTCAACATGGAGAAGCCTCGAAAACAGAATGCTAGGTGAAAGCAGTCAGGCACACAAAAGTCCACAAGGTGTGATTCCGTTTATGCGAAATGTCCGTCATGGGCAAATCCAGAATGTGCAGTGTCTGCAAAAGGTACAGGGTGTCTTTTTGGAAAGAGGAAAGTGGTCTGGAATTTGACAGTGATGATGGTTGCCCAGCTTTGCGAATATTCTAAACACCACTGAATTGTACAATTTAAAATGATGAATCTTATGGCATGTAAATTATACCACAATTTAATAATAATGATAATAATAAAGCATTCCGAGTATCAAGCCTGGTTTTCCACATAATATATATCACTTTGGGTATCATGCAGCAGGGCTCATTGGGGTGATTCCGCACTCCCACATCCCTATTTGAATAGAAATAAAATTAAATCATGGACTAGGAGTTAGAAAGTATGAACTGTATTCCTGAATCTTAAGTGACTGTGGATGTTCTCACCTTTAATTCTATTGCCAGAAACGAGGATGATAATACCTACCCTTGTCAGGGTTTACCAGATTGAAGGGTTTCTGGTTTTCTGACAGCTTTCCAAAGTATCTCATACATGTAGATGTTTCATAAATACATATTAAATGAATGTTTGATTTAAAGAGATCAAGTCATGAGAGTACTTTCTAAAACGTCAAGCCCTGTACCTATGAATGAGAATATGGCTTTAACATATTCTGGTCTGTCTATTCCTGGAAATGTGAAAACAATTTGGATATTCTACTCCTGAGGTGTTTTGTAACTAATGGCCACACTGAATCAACTTCTTTTTTAGGCCTTGCAGTATTAAAACATGTGCTGACACCAAGAATAAAGGCAACTCATGTTGCTTTTGATTCTTTGAAGAATTATTTAGATGCAATTTATGATGTGACAGTGGCTTTCGAAGGGACTATTGATGATAAAGGGCAGCGGAAAGAAGCACCGTCCATGGCTGGTGAGTTTATATTTTCAGTGGAGTCCTATATTTGTGAATGTGTCATTATTCTTTTTAACGGGTAAGTAAATGTGCTTTGTAACATTTACTCCATATATTTTCCGAGGATATACTTGATGTGTTTTTCAAGTACTTTTTATTAATCCGTAACAGTTTGAATTTCATGAGTCCTGCTAAGTTTGGTATCTCCTGGTTGCCATAGGAGTCCTTTGGACTGGCCTGTTATCACTAACTCAGCCTCTTTCTACCCAAAGTTTCACGCGTAAAAATGGAAGGCTGCATAAATCAAAGTGGGGAATAAGGAGGAGAGTGCTAAGCTAGCCACCCAGAGGTGTGCATCGATGGTTAGCATTCATCTTTGTATGTACTTTTATAGAATACTTAGGAAACTCAGTATCATTGGCAAGAAGAAAAACAGTTAAATGTGGCTCCGTTTTTCAAACCTGTGCTAGGTTTTAAAGACCTTTTAGCTACTGTCTATGTGTCCTATCAGATATGACAAGAAAAAATAGAATTTTAAGTGAGTGGAATATTTTAGTTAAACATGAACAGAGACACTCTTGCCTGTTAGAGAAATTGAAATATGGGAATAAGTAAGCATGCAGGGAAGCCTGTGAAGCTGCTGCCTGAGCTCTGAGCCCGAGGTAGAACTCCAGGCTTTTGATTTCACGTTTGTGGCTGTTGAAGGTCGAAGTCCTGGGCCTGGAAGAGTGTGTCAGTGGGTCCTTGTGAAGGCCGATGTCCCCAGTGTGTCCCGGAGACAGCGACCTGGAGGGAGGACGGATGGGCGAGGCACGGGGGGGCTGAGTGGTGTGGGCGTCGGTCATGGTGGGAGGAAATACAGATGCGAAGTAGTGACCATGATTGCTGTCACAGTTGCCTTTGACACAGAGCAGTTGTTATGTAGGAAGCTGAAGATTTTTGTCACTTTAATTTTTTGGAATATATTTGGAATTTTTTGGAATATATTATACATCAAACAGTTTAAAAACCAAAACTTAATAAAGTTCACAGTGAAACAGCTTGCTTTCTGCTACGTCCCCTTCCCACTCAGGGTCCACCTTCCCCTGCTCAGAAGCGACCACTTTTCTTAATTTCTTATGTGTCATATGTGCAAATTTGAGTCTGCATTCTTACTCTCCAGTCCCTCCTTCATGAGTCCTTCTTATGAAAAAGGCAGTATGTTAATATTTTTCTCTTTTTTTTTAACCATCAAAGGAGTCATTGACCTATTTTTACATTTGGAAACACATGAATTTAGTTGTTCAACGATATTGTCACCAGTTTATCACCATTTAAATAATGAGATTTATTAAACATGTTTTTATTATAAGTTTCTAAGAAACATATAATTCCCGTAGTGCCCTCTGCAACATGCTTCCCTTGTGTCGCCGTCCGGACCATAAGAGCTCCTTGGGCCAGGCTCATGTGCCCCGGCACCCCCTCGTTAGCCTGCCCTCTTGGACCATGCACCCTCACTGTCCTGCCTCTCTTCCCCCCACCCCCCTTGCCCTGTGTAGGCCACGCCTCCTTTCCAAGGGAAGCCCCTCCCCTTGCAGCCTCCCCCACT